GAACGGATGCTCTTTCTTCGCAGGATTTTGACCGTTTCACTCCGTTCTTTCGCCATTTCCCCACTATATAGCGCCCTACTAGCATTTTAGGCCGAGCACCAAATCATCGTGCCAACTGCCTTTAAGACAAAATGTATACTCACTTCCTGACCCTATATCCTGACCCTCCCGTAGCTGCAGCGTGCCACTTTCTCCCATAGAAAATACAAGGGAATGGGGCTGCAGGTTCGTGATACCCCGGTGTCGAGTCCATCCCTCCTCGCGCTGGCGCACGGCCAGCAAGGTGCCTAGCAATGCAACCAAATGAGCTACTGGTCTGCGCTGTCTCAATTATCGTTGTAAATATTTACTGCTGAGCGCGTGTTTCGCTGCGAAACCTTGGAGTCGACACAAGTGCTGCACCGTGTTTATCGCACGGAGTAAGGAGTACTGGGCTACCCTACCCTACGGCCCCGTTCCCATGTACTGGTAAGTGGTCAAAGTGGGATGCTACTGCAGTTGCGGGCTTCTCGTCGTACATGGCAAGGACCGTCTTCGGTGGTGAGTGTACCGTTTGTCTTTAATCTAAGAATCTCAAAAAGGACGAACGTGTTCGTCTAACACCTTTCGTGACTCCTGTCTCTCAAAAATTCCCAGTGCAAGTAATGCGCTAGGTCTGTAAATCAAGGTAGCAGTGGTACTTTTAAAGCCCGAAGCCCTTCGGATAGCATATTGAAACAGCTGGACTAAAGAAAAGGCAGAGTGGATCTTCTTCAAGCTTAGCGGCACGAAGTACTCCCTAGCTACATAAAAATGCGACAATTTCGGACAACAAAGCAGCAGGCATACCTGAGTTGTGAGACGATAACTCATCAGTTCGAACTCGCCATCTGGCGGAATGAATGAGATGGTTCGCTCAGCTTCAAAACGCGATAGCCGTACGCATTGGTGGAACTTGACATCCTCCAATTCGACTCCTTTACCATTTCGACTGCCTTGAAAAAAAGAGCTGCCTTGAGAATTAGTGGCAATTATGAGATGAAAAGCTTTGATTTGAGAAGGGTACGTTCACTCTTGGCCAAATTCAACAATATTACAAAAAAGAAAACTTGACAGCCAAACAGCCAAATCTGGCTGAGGAAAAAAAACGAGAACAATGGGATGATTGAAGTGTGGGCAGGTGGATCAAGCATGGAAACCTACCTCTTGCACCAGCAGATGCTTGCTCAAAAATCACTTTATCGTTCAAGCCTAGCCGAAGTTCTGGCATTCCACTCAAAACCACTCGCATTCGAATAGAGCCAATAATCTCACTTCGTAGAACCGTTCCAGAAGCATTTGCCTGAATAAACCACTCTCAACGAATTCAAAAAAGAACTACTTCCAGGGAATACTGTCAAAAGGTTTACCAGCATGTTAACGCTTTCGATGACGTCAAGAAAGACTTCATTCTTCCGATATTTAATCCCATCCGATCTCCATGAAACTGCATTAGTGACTGCCATTGGAGGACGAGGTGCAATCTCTAATCGATGACCCTCTTGGGTAATGTACCTAATAACAGAGATATGAGATATGACTCAAAACTCAACGGTTGCTCTTTACTTACTCTTGAAGAATTCGGCTTTCCGTTGTCTGAGGATACCCAAAATCCATCATTTCATCAAAAAGTTCATAAATTACGACAAAATTGTCGCGCACAGACTCCTCTTCAAGATCTTTGAAGTACTCACAAAACACCTTAATGTCAAGATAATCCGTAATAGAGCCAAAACAAGAAAACGAAATTTATTGGGAGTACCTCGACGCATTTGTAAAGAAATGAGAGTACAAGGGCAGCGTTCATGTTCTTCTTTGAGATGCTCACAACTGAAATAGAGAAAAATAGACGCAAAAACCTTCAGACAATGAAGTGTACTAACTGTTCGCGAACAAATTGCACTTGTGGGCGACACTATTGAATGGAAGGAATGAGGCTTATTTGAACAGGCGAAAATGAAAATGTGAAAATGAAGATGTTCTGGTGCTGAAGAATCCCATGACCCATTATGAAGAAACCCAAGAA